CCACCCTTTAGTGACTAATCAGACAATGTCTGAAATGGTTGTCTTTTTTATAGCCTTCAATTAAAGAAACCACATTGTCCAAAAACTGCAGCAGCATCTCTTTTTTTAAGTTACATACCTTTTTCAAAAATGTAAACAACACTTTGCTTCCCACTAAAATATTTAGCAATATAAAAACCAAGAGTGAATCAGTGTGAGTCATCTAACTCCAGGCTATTTGATAACTGTAACACAGTTAATATGATCCAGTCTAGTTGTGATCCTGAACCATGCAACTTTGAAACATTAGGATTGTTACTTTAAAAAGTGTAACCATTGAAGTTATATTTTAATTGGTGGTTAAGAGGAAGAAAAGGAAAAAGTTATGTTTAATATTTTTCCTTTAATATTTTCCTTCCTAATATTTCCCCTTAAATTTTTCCTTCATTTTTTTCTTGTTTGTCCCATAAAAGATTTTGTGAAAAGAAGGCAATAACATAGTTGTTATTTACTGTGGACATAAAATTGTGCCAAAAGGAAATTCAGTCAGACTGGTATTAGAGTTCAGTTGATTTCATCCTATGCAAAGCAATTTATTTTTTCACCCTTTCCTCCCGAAATGGAATATTTGCAACTGTTTCTCAGTTTATCAGTGTAGTTATTTACAATGTCAGGATAATTATTTAAAGGCTAAACAGCTTATGTAATTATGTAATGTAAGGTGGATGATACAATCTAGGAATGACTCAGCAGGTGTGTGTGTACCCTTTTAAGACCCTAAGTATAAAAGGGAAGGCTTTTTGCTGCTGTGTTCTCTCTTGTCCGTTTCCTGCTATAATTGCTGTGTTTGAAGTTTACTGAACTATCACGTGTATGTATTTTGTTCTTTGTGTATATTTGTAGATATTGTAATATAAACCACCATTTAATACAAACCACTGTTTACTGTATTTATTCATGGGTTACCTCAGTGCAATAAGACTGTGCATGCTCTGACTGTGCATGCTCTGACAGGTTATTGGCCCAGAGAGAGGAGAAACCCAGTGAGAGTTTGACCCAGAGCCAGAGGAGTTGAGGGTTGTGGTGGTTTAAAGAAGCAGGCAATATGGCTTCCATCAGTGCAATGGGAGGAGGTTTCATAGTATCTCAGCTGAATGAGACAAATTATCTCTCCCGGAGTCTGAAAATGGAGATGTATCTGCAAAGGGAGGAGTTGTGGATGATAGTTACTGATCCACCTGCAGCTCTGAATGATGGGAACCAGAGTAAGAATGAGAAACTCAGACCAGCATAATCTTGAGTTTAGATGATAGCCAGCTGATACACGTGAGGGGTCTCCAGTCTGCTAAGGAGTGCTGGGAAGCTTTGCACAGTGTGCACATGAGAGAGACTGTGGGCAGCAAAGTAATGCTGACAAGAAAGCTATATAAAGCACAGCTGAAGCCGGGAGAGAGCATGTCTACACATTTGCGGTCCATGAGAAAGACATTCCTAGAATTAGAGGAAAGACGGATAACTTTCACTGAGTCACATAAGATGTATGTGGTGCGCAGTTCATTGGACAGTTCATGGGATGTCCTAGTAACCAGTTTAGAATCCATGCAGGAGAAGGATTTAACCATGAGTTATTTGACTGGCTGGTTGCTGGAGGAGGAAAAGCAGCAGAGGGGGTGATGACAACGCACAGCCCAAGCCTAGAGTTGCTACATCCCAGGGTGCCAGCACAGCAGCTGAGAAGGTTTAATGGTGAAATGCTGCTACACACATGGATCTACAGAGCATCTCCAGAGATGCTGCCCTGAGAGGAGAAACAGAGGAGCAGCGAGACAAAATTGTAGAACTACACAACCAATATTTTCCCTAGCAGCGACATTAACTGAGAAAAACACTTGGTTGTTGGACAATGGAACCAGTCAGCATATTGCAAATGACCCCTCAAATGGTTTTCCAGTTTGAGACCAGCTAAGTAAGCATTTGTTACCTTGGTTCCAATGGACAACAGTTTGCTGTAAAAGGGGAAGGTAAAATTTATGTACCTGGTATAGGAGAAATGGATAATGTACTATATGTACCACAGTAAGACTGTGGCAGGTAGAAAATGCCATTAAGGGAGATGGAAAAATATTATAAACAACATTTTAATTAACAGAGGTGATGTTTTGAAAGCATTAACTAATATTATAAACTGCCTGAGTGTGATGACCTGTGTGCAATTCTATGAAGAAACATTTTTATAAGAAGTGCTAACCGAAAGTCACAAATGGTGTAAGATATTACACATGTAGGGGAGTATGGTTTTCTGCACATGGTATAAACTTCCCTTTTTCCTATGTGTGTGGTCTCAGGACATGAACTTCTCTCTTTTAGTGTGTTAAAGGTAGATAAGAAGTCATCCATTAGGTTAAGTGTGGGTAGCAAGCTGTATAAGAATGACACCCTGGAAATAACCCAGGGTTCAGAATTTGTCATATGAATACTCTGAACCTTTGCGCAAATAAATCCTGTTTTCTCCAACCCTTCGTGGTCTTATCTTCTGATGTAAGTATCGTGGTTTTTCCACTGCAATTATCTGGCGACCACAGCAGGACGGCAAGGAGTCTTGGGGCTCTCTGGAGGGCACATCCCGGTTCCAGGGGCCTGTAGTGTTAGGGGGAACATCCCAGGCACCATTGGACTTTTACTCTGAGGGACTTTCCTGTGGCACAGGGCTCCAGGATTGGCAGTCAGTCACTCCAAGAACCACAGGTGAAGGGAAAGGAGACCAGGCATCTTTCCAGCTGGCTAGAGGACAAAGGATTCGCCTGCAGGCAAGTATTGTATGGGAAAAACAATCCCTCCCTGTAAGCAGGGACAGAGGAGAGGACTGATCACCCTCTCTTTGGAATAAGTTGGGAGGACTGTTGTGAGTGCTTGATGTGAAAGACTACTGAGTTTCCCAAAGGTGACCATGAGTGTCCGGCACCCTGAGCCAGTAGAGAGTGAGTGGCGTTCGCAATTCCCATCAGAGACCATGATCTTCTGGCTCCCTGGGTTGAGCGTGAACAAGTGTAACCCCTAGAGTTATCCTGAGTGGAAGGACCCCTTACCTTCCTCTCATCCCTTTTCCTCATTTGTCTTGGCTGGTGCCCTGAGAGGATCATGAGGGGTGGTGGAAATGTGCCCCTCACTCCGTTGAAGTGTATGTTAAAGCACTTTAGTTCTGCTTATGAGACCCAGGGCTATGGTATTAAGTGGAGCAGGCATAAGTTGAGGATTTTCTGTGAAGTAGACTGGCCAAGCTTTAACCTAGGTTGACCTGACACAGGAACGTTAGATCTCTCTATCGCTTTAAAAATACATCAGTTAGTGTTCCACCCCACGTTAGGGCACCCAGACCAGGCACCCTATATTGATGTGTGGCTCAGCTTTTGCAAAGACCTCCACCATGGATCCAGAAATGCAAAACTGTCCCCTATGTTAAAAAGTTTCGAGGATAGAAAAAGCCGGGGACAAGCCATAATCCAACCAGATATCCAGAATCAAGGGACCCAAGCTGGGTGCTGGGAGGGGGGGCGAGGCAGAGGAGGACTGCAAACAGAAGGCAGAGAAGTGGGAGGACCGATAGCCGAATGAACGAGGGTGAAGACTGAGCAAGCATCTTTGATCGCCTCCCTTAGACAAGTAGATCAATTGGTTGTCAGTAAGGACAATCCAGCAGAAACAGCCACAGCTCCTCTATTCCAACATGTGCCTTTTACTACATCAGACCTTCTTAATTGGAAATTTCATTACGGCCCATTTAGTGAAAAACCAAATGAAGTGGCAGACTTGGTAAAGACCATTGTGAACACCCACAATGGGTGGACCTGCAGCTGCTTATGGGGACTTTGTTCAATCCGGAGGAAAGGGAAAAGATTAGGATACAGTGACAAAAATCTTGAAGCCCGATCTACCATTAATGCACTCTCTTGAAGAGTTGTTGAGTGAAGCTTCCCTTCCAAAGACCCTTTCTGGAATCTCTATCGTGACCTCGGGGATCTGCAGACTTATCAACAGTTAGTGGTGCAGGCAGTTCGTGCAGCAGGAAAACCATCTGTTAACATGTCTAAAGCATCTTTAGTAGTGCAGGAAGCCACAGAGAGTCCGGAAGCATTTTACACTCGATTGCTTGAAGCCTACCAAATGTATACACCTATTGATCCAACAGAGCCTGACAATGCTTGAATGCTTGCCATGGCCTTTATCTCACAAAGTGCCCCTGATATCCATAGAAAGTTGCAAAGATTGGAGGGAGCCCTGGAAAGCCCATGAGTGAACTAATGGAAGTAGCCAGAAAGACTTTTGTTAATAGGGAAAAAGAGGAGGAAAGAAAGAAGGATCACAAGATGTAAAGGAAGGCTGAATTGCTGGCTGTTGCTATGATGGGGATGCCAAGAGGAGGTGGCAGAAGTAGGGGAAATGGAATAACGTTAGGACGAAAACAGTGTGCCATATGTAAGAAGGAAGGACACTGGAAGGGTGAATGTCCAGAAAGAGAAAAGGATGAAGAACAAGGGGGGGGGAAGAGGCAGGTTTGCGAAGAGCTACACAGGTGGCCCAGGGAGAAGCCAGGGAGGGAGAGAAAGAAGAGATTTTCAAGAACTCCCCTCATAGGTCTGGGAGAAGTGGAAGGACTGGGACTGAGACCGACCGGGTTCAGCCCACCTCCCAGAACCTGTGGTCAGTCTAATAGTAGGAGGCAAATCTATTCCCTTCCTTGTGGATACTGGAGCTACCCGATCAGTCCTAACTCAATCCCTGAGCCAAGCTTCCTCCCACTCTATCAATATACAAGGAGCAACAGGAAGAATCTTACAGCAACCATTTTTAGAACCCTTAAGTTGCACTATGGGAGGAAGAACCATAACTCACCAGTTTGTGTATATGTCAGACTGTCCCATCCCTTTATTAGGAAGGGATCTGCTATGTAAGCTAAAGGCACAGATCTCCTTTGAAGAGGATGGCGCCATGGCAATAAAATATGGAAAGGTGCTAATGGAAGTACCTTGTGCTGAGGAATGGAGAATGGTGATGCTGGCATGAACAATAGAGAAGAATGCCAAATGGGAGGAATTTGATGTACCGTACCTGTGGGCAGAGGACTCCCCTGGTTTTGCAAGACATCATCCACTATCTCCCAGCTGCCTGTACCGAAGAATAGGAAAGAGTTAAGAGGATTTTTAGTTGCTGCTGGCTTCTGCCGAATATGGATCCTTACTTTAGTTTAATAGCAAAATTCTTATATGAGGCCACAAAGGGAGGACATAAAGAACCATTATGATAGGAAAAGCAGGAAAATAACAGCTTCACCACTCTCAAGGAGGCTCTAATGTGCACCCCTAGTTTAGATCTATTGGACTTGGAAAAGCCATTTCAACTGTTTGTAGATACAAAACAAAATGTGGCAATCAGGGTTCTCACTCAGAAAGTTGGGACCTGGCATCATCTGGTCGTTTATCTATCTAAACAGTTTAATAACATAGCCAAGGGTTGGCCGGCTTGCCTTAAAGCAATTGCTGGAACAGCGTTGTTAACACAGGAAGCTAATAAATTAACTTTTGGGCAGAAATTAGATATCCACATGCCACATGCCCTCAAAGCTGTTTTGGAAGCAAAAGGACATTTGTGGCTGACCAACCCACACATGTTAAAGTATCAAGCCCTGATAACTCATAACCCAGTGATTACTTTAATACAATCAAACGCTCTAAATCCAGCCACGTTGCTGCCTGAACCAGACTTAGAAACCACACATAGTTGCATACAAACCATAGAAGAGACTTATGCTAGCCGCCCGGATATGAATGACGTTCCCTTCCCTAATCCAGATTTTACAATATATACAGATGGAACTAGTTTTATACAAGAAGGAACTCGGAAGGCAGGATATGCTGTGGTGACTTTGGAGGAGGTCTGGGAAGCTGAGCCCCTTCCCACCGGCACAAGTGCTCAGCTGGCTGAATTGCATGCATTAACTAGAGCTCTGGAGCTGGCAAAAGGAAAACGCATTAACATTTATACAGATTCTAAGTACGCGTTCCTGACAGTGCAAGTCCATGGAGCATTATACAAAGAAAGAGGTCTAATAACATCAGGGGAAAGGATGTTAAGAATGGATCACAGATATTGCGTCTGCTGGATAGCATGTGGAAATCCAGCAAAGTAGCTATAATGCACTGTAAAGGGCATCAGAAGGGAGATATTCAGCTGGGAAATAATAAAGCAGACTGGGAAGCTTGTATTGCAGCACAAAAGGCACTTGCAGTGCAGACAAACTGCCTAGCTTTATGGGTCCCCCAAGAGCAAGTTAAACCAAACTATTCCCTGGAAGACTTAAAGCAAATTGAGGTGCTTGAAGCACGCCAGGAAGATGGCTGGTGGATCCTACCAGACCAGCGAGTCTTTATCCCAGGATATATGGCATGGGATGCAATGCAACAGGTCCATAGGCAACTGCACTTGGGAAAGACGGCGTTGGCAGATGCCCTGAAGCGAGAGGTCTATATTGACAAAATACACAGCATTGCAGCAAATGTTTGTGCTAGATGTGAGATTTGTGCAGTCAATAACCCAAGGCAAGGACCCTAACTGCCCCAGGGACACCAACCCAGGGGAAATTACCCCTTTGATTCTCTGATGATTGACTTTACTGACATGCCACGTTCAGGTCCCTATAGAGCAATGCTAGTCATAGTACATATACTGGATAGCTGGAGTGCATCCCTATAAGGACAAAAAAGGCAACTGAGGTCGCAAAAGCCTTACTTCACATTATTATTCCCAGGTATGGGTTGCCATCTAGAATTTCTTCAGACAATGGTCCTGAATTTATCCATAGAGCCACCCAAAAGATAGCAGCTATGCTAGGAATAACATGGAAGCTTCACTGTAGTTTCCATGCTCAATCGGGAGGAAGGGTGGAGAAAGTGATTAGAACCATTAAAGAAAACTTGGCAAAAATATGTCAGGAAACCCAGCTTAAGTGGCCAGATGCTTTAAACCTGGCCCTGGTTGCAATACGGTGTGCCCCACAAAGAGAGTTACTTGTGTCACCATTTGAGTTATTATATGGCAGAGTCTCTAATCTACTCAGGCCAATTGTCCAGAACACTGGACCGGTGGACCGGTGGCAGATACTGTCAAATACTGCAAGCCCTCAATACAGTAGTACAGAGGCTACAACAATATGTCTTGACCTAAAGGCCTCACGTCCTGGTCACACATACACATGATATACATCTAGGACAAGAGGTTTGGGTAAAGGACTGGAAGAGGGAAGTTTTAAGCCTCAAGTGGAAAGGGCCGTATACTGTTGTTAAGGTGGCTGAAATCAAATCGTGGATCCATTGGTCCCGAGTTGAATTGGCTGCCCCTGCCCAGTGGAAAGTGAAGAGTGACCTAACACACCCTCTCAGGCTAATTCTACACCGAAAAGGAAGGAGCCTCTCTCCTTCTGGTGACACTCCAGAAGCTGTCCCCCTGCGAACGGGAGAGGTGAAGCAAATCCCTGCAGGTATTACTCCGGAAGCTAACACCCAGCGCACAGGCAACAAGATCCCCCTGCCCTGGAAGCTACGATCGCGCAGCTAGCGTTAGGTTTCTCTAAATATGGAACCCAGCCAAACGATGAGAGAAACTGCCTGTATTAGAAAGGGCCTCATGCCACCTATTTGGTGGTAGTGATGCTGTTGCTGATTAGTATTGTCATTTATTCCCTGTTAGCCAAGGAGGGAGGATTGTGTGGAAAATGTAACCTTACCAATTGCTGTCTACAAATTGATGAGACTGGGAAGGATATTAAACAATTAACCACTGAAATGAGACAACTAACCCACAACACTAATCAAGAATGGAAAGGTTTTGACTTTGCCAAATGTTTAGCTCTTGGTTTCCAAAGCTTCCTGGCTTACAAGCTATTGTGGCCCTTATTGGCTTAATAGTAGCTGGATGTGTAATTTTACCATTTTACCAATCTTTGTGCGTGCAATTTCTAATAGCCTTTTTATGCTTGTGGAAAAAAGGGCCATAGCCCAAGTTATGGCCTTATGGGATGAGGGGGATTATGTAGATGAAGACCCCCAATATATGAAACTCCCCTATAATCCTGAGACTTAAGTGAAGTTTCAAAGGAGGGAAATGCAGCAGGTAGAAAATGCCATTAAAGGAGATGGAAAAATATTATAAACAACATTTTAATTAAAAGAGATGATGTTTTGAAAGCATTAACTAATATTATAAACTGCCTGAGTGTGATGACCTGTGTGCAATTCTATGAAGAAACATTTTTACAAGAAGTGCCAACCGAAAGTCACAAATGGTGTAAGATATTACACGTGTAGGGGAGTGTGGTTTTCTGCACATGGTATAAACTTCCCTTTTTCCTATGTGTGTGGTCTCAGGACATGAACTTCTCTCTTTTAGTGTGTTAAAGGTAGATAAGAAGTCATCCATTGGGTTAAGCATGGGCGGCAAGCTGTATAAGAATGACACCCTGGAAATAACCCAGGGTTCAGAATTTGTCATATGAATACTCTGAACCTTTGCGCAAATAAATCCTGTTTTCTCCAACCCTTCGTGGTCTTGTCTTCTGATGTAAGTATTGTGGTTTTTTCCACTACAAGACCATAATTTACTCAGTATTTCGAGCTTGGATAGTATGGGATATGAAATAATGTTTGCAAATGCTCAATATACCATAAGGAAAGATGGGAGGATTGTGCACAAGGTGTTAAACAGGATAATTTGTATGTACTAAAAAAAGCAGCAGGAAGGTTGTGAACGAAGACTTACAAACATAATAGCTGTACATTTATTATACAGAAGGTTAGGACATGCAAGTTTTAAAGTGTTGCAGAGAATGCCAGACCTAGCTGAAGGATTACAAATTTAAAAATGCAACACATATTTAGATTGTGCTATTTGTAAGGAGTCAAAGTCTAGGGTGTATCCTGTAAGTAAGAAAAGCATGAGGCAAACTAACAGGGTTTTGCAGTTAGTTCATGCTGATTTAATTGGTCCTATGGCACCCTCTCTAGGAGGAGCTAGGTATGTATTAGTCTTAGTAGATGACTACTAATATGGGTTCTGCTATTTATTAGAGAACAAAACTGAAGTTCTACACCAGTTTAAGCAATGGCTGAACTTTGTAGAGAGAAGGTATGCCCATAAGGTATGCCAGCTGCAAACAGATAAGGGAACAGAGATCATGTCTGATAATTTCCAAAGGTGGCTGAGAAATGTAGGCATAAAGCAAAGAAATACAAATCCTTACACACCAGCAGAAAATGAAGTGGCTGAAAGGAGAAACAGTATATTGCAGACCATGAAGGACTCACTGCTGGCAGATGCAGGAATGAGTAACACATACTGGGGAGAAGCCATAAAAAAACAGCCAACTATTTAGTAAATAGAGTATGGAGTGTGGCTATCAATGAAACTCCATATTACATGTTATATTAGCTCACCTAAGAACATTTGGCAGTTATGCCTGGGTACATATTCCCAAAGGCACCAGAAGAAAAGGACAGAAAAAGGCCAGGAAACCTAGGTTTGTAGGATATGAACCAGGCTCCAAGGGATATAGATTTTCAGATGGAACCAAGAAATTTTGATATCAAGGTCTGCTAGTTTCGCAGAGCAAAATAATTGGAACGGTGCATGCTAATACTGAAGTGTTCATGTCAACAAATAGTATTAGTTCTCAGGAAGGAGAGGCTACACAAAACCCAATGAAGGAAGAACAGAATAGCAGGTCAGAAATAGCAGGGATAAATGAGGATAGACCTGAGATAAAAAGAGAAGTCATAGAAACACTGGAACAGGTGATCCTGAGGAGGTCTGAACGTAGCAATAAAGGCATACCTCCTGATCGATTCAGAGCAGGTGGGTCTAGAGCATATAATGTAAGGTATGAACCCTGCGATTATCAAGAAATGTTATCATTACCTCAAATAGAAAAGGGTAAATGGAAGGACACAATAATGAACTGCAGTAAAAGGCATCAATGTAAAAAATACCTTTATGCTTGGATTTTATGCATGCCCATTTCCTGCTAGTTGGAAATGTTGAAATAGCTTGCATTACCTGCAAATATCTTTAGTGAAAAATTAAATTCCATCTCTAGTTTTTGTGCCTATTTGCTCTTCAGATTCTTATTCGGGTTAATCATTTTCAAAAACATTTGTATAGTCAATTTTTATTTTTAAAGGTACTTTTTAAAATTGGTATAGTATGCTTTTTTAAAACATACTTTCAGAAAAATGAATTTATAATGGGTTTTAATGTGTAATACATTTTAATGTCTCAAATATTTCTCAATTAAAAAAATCTCTAGAGAATCGCAAAATAAAAATTCAAAACAATCACAAGATTAAAAGTTAAGCAAATTAATCTTTATGCAGCTATATTGCCTTTTTTAATGAGCATTTTGTGTAGAATTAAAAAGATGAAAGAGACAGTGGACAAATTCAGATGATTACATATGGAAGAAAACAATAACTATATTCTTTGTTCCTTTATGTAAACGTAATGGAAGATGATAATATAATAAAGGCTTTATTGTGATTAAAATGCATAAATAACTATATGATAAACCCTTTCCTTGGAAGCAAATATGTCTGCAAATACTAAGTTACAAAGTGGCTTGGAAGAGCTGTGGTAGTACAGTGGTAAGAATGCAGTACTGCTCACTCCAGAAGTTCGATTCTGAGTGGCTCAAGGTTGACTCAGCCTTCCATCCTTCTGAAGTTGGTAAAATGAGGACCCAGATTGTTGGGGGCAATATGCTGACTCCGTAAAACTGCTTAGAGAGGGCAGTAAAGCATTATGGAGTGGTAATATAAATCTAAGTGCTATTGCTACTACTAGTAATAAGCTTCGTCTCTCAATAAAAAATTAGTAACAACAGTGGTATATTTGACTCTCCTGGATTAGGGAGAGTCCCAGAATCATCCCAGCAACAATCTGCAAGCAGTTTTGAAAGCAGTGTTGGGCTGAAATCACTTCTTTGTTGGATAAAACAGCCATTTTGGAATTTATTTTTCAAATGGAGAATAAGCTGTGCCCTTCATTTCTTAATCAATTTATGACACTATTATCTCTATTAGCTAAAAGAAGCGCTCTTTAGTTACAGCTTATCACTCCTTTTTGAAGCAATACACCATCTTTGAGACTCCTTTATTTTTAAATGACAAGGAAGAGGAAGTGTGGAATATATTTTCCTTTGAAATATAAGGATAAAAGTTGTGCTCTAAATTTACTGCTTTTAAAATAATTTGCAGCCCTGTGTTGTGTTGTTGTGGCAGTTGAAATTTTCCAATTTCCATGAACTCTGGGTAGAAAAAAGAATAAGTAAATAAGTAAGTAAGTAAATTCATTTGTCACTAGAGGGGGTTATGAAGATGTTTAACTGAGCTGGAGTCTGTCATCAAGGAAATCTTTGAAAGGTCCATACAGAAAATCATTTATATCATAAATCACTTAGGGTCCAAAGATACTAATTATACAGAGGATAATTAAAAAGAACATTATCAACCTACTGTAAAAAATTATCAACCCACTGTGTAAACTCTACAAATGCTGGACAATGCAAATAATGTAATTGTCCCTCTGGAATATAAATCTGACACCAGTTTTATTATGATGATGGTTTGAATATAATCCTCCCAATGCAATTGAAACAAGAGTGTCAAGTAAACTCACAACTCTTAAGAGGTCAAGTTTGGGATTTTTTCCTCATGGATACCAATAAAGTCAAAAACTCTTTGAGAAAAAAAGATGATAGATATCTTAGAGAAGTAAACTTCATTCTACAAGAATTTATTCCAGGTTAATCTATAACGTCTAACAAAACCATTTTGGGACATTTTTTTCATGGATATAAATAAGGCTGAGAACTACTTGAAGAAAAGGGACTTGATAGACACCCTTGAAAAGAAAAAGATTTTATTCTATGATGACAAGCTGGAAGGAGTGACTTAAATTTAATGATTTAATTAGTTAGGATGGACATAAAAGTTTGATATATGTATTGCAAGAAAGCTTTAAGGTAGCTTCATATGTATAAAATGAGTTTATAAATGCATGTCTTCTGTCTTTTTATGTAATGCTGAAAAAGCTCTAATGTAGTTTTGTGTTTTATGCTCTGGGTTTAAAATGAAGAGGGTTTTTTCCCCCCTTTTATACTTGAGTATTATTTAAAGTTAGTAAAATATCTAAACTAGAAAAAG